AGACAATTCATGTCCTTTGCAGCCACCCGCTAGTCTCTCATAAACGTCCCTCCGGATAGAGTCTAGAAGTTAAGAGACTCATCAGACTCTCAGCTGCTCGTGGATATCTTGCAGAAGGTAAGAGCCCAGGGAGTCCCGGGTGGTGTACGCAGTTAAGACACATGGCTGCTAGCCATAAGGTTGGCAGTTCAAGTCACCCAGAGGCACTGTGGAAGATAGTTCTGACCGCTTGCTTCTAGAATCCCCTGGAACACTTGCCCTGAATCCCGAACTGCATGGTGCCCAGCGACTATGACTCCGCATTTGAGGGACGGTTTCGTAGAAGAGAAACCCAGGTCAAATGTATGTCGAACAGGAATGTAGGCCCTCGCTGATTCCACCCTTTCTGGAGCCTTGGAGTCCAGATAAGCCCCTAGAACGATTGGCCGAGGCCCTTTAAGCCTGAAGTCTTAATACTATATAAAAAATAGGCTTACAATAGCCGGGAGGTTTCCCTGAGACCCAGCAGTAGTTGAGCGTCACGTGGACGGAACTGTGGACGGAACGGCTGCGCTGAGCTTCGTGCTGTTGGAAGAACTCTGCATGGGGTCAGAGTGACAGACGGACGGACAGCAGCAACCCCAACAATGACAGGAACCCGGGGTGGGGTCGTGAGCGGCTAGAGCGGCTGGATTAGGAGCAGTCGGGAAAGGAGGGTGAGACTGGTCGCCCAAGTCCAGGAGCGTGACTAAGGCCACTGAGAGAGACGTGCAGGAACTTGAGCTGTGTGTATATACAGCAGCAGCAAAGTTTGTTTGTTTTTTGTTTTTTTTGTTTTTTAAGTTTGTTTTTTTTAAGCAACTTTTGCTCCAAAACAAAGCCCAGAAATCAGGGAGAGGCAGGACAGAATTATGTTCTTTTGAGATCTAACTCCAAAACACAAACTCACTGCCACCAAGTCCTTTCTCTTCTTATTAAGAAAGTAGTATGCTTTTATTTTGTCTATAGAAGAAATGAAATGGGTGCTGGTGTGTTTTGCATATATATGTATGTGTGTGTATATGTACATATATATATACACTAAAACACATGAAGGATATGCAGGCATAGGTCTGTATACACATACAAGTCTAAAAAAAGATTGCAACAAATCAGAGAAAATGTTATACAGCAAAAACATCAAAATGAGAAGTTACTGATTCAAGTCCGTTATTATGGTAGTGTAGTGGTTACACATTGGGCTACTAGCCACAAGGTCAGCAATTCGAAACCACCAGCTGCTCCGAGGGAGAAAGACAAGCCTTTCTACTCCTGTAAAAGAGTTACAATCTCAGAAACCCATGGGCGGTTCTACTCTGTCCTGTAGGGTCACTGTGAGTCTATGAAGCTGTATCTCTCAGAACCCACCAGCATGGACTCAATGCCGACTCATGGTGCGCCTGTATCACAGAGTAGAACTGCCCCTGTGAGTTTACGGGAGTAAAAAGCCTCATCTTTCTC